TTCATGTTCATTTCAGCATAATACTACTATACCTGCAGCAGCCAACTCGGCATCGCTGGCGTAGTTGGGTTCCTGCTGAGAGAGGTCGGGGACGGTCAAAGGAGCCCGGTCTTTCTTCGATTGTGCTTTCTGCAGAAATTAAAACACAACCATAGATTCAGCTCATAAAATAATGCTTTTACTAATACTGGTTACTGCTTAACATCAACTACTCAGGTCTAAAATGTAACAGAGTTTATCTTACCTTCAACCTCCGGTCAAGGTGCCATGTAACAGGAGGGAAGTCTCTGGCGTACTCGGGCAGCCACTCCAGCAGCTCGTTCCGCTCTCCCTGCTGGCAGAACCGGAACAGCAACCACACCAGCCATTTCAGGCAGCAGACCTAAACATTACACATAAACTTTAAAGAACACTGAATACTGAACAATGAAAAACAACATTCCTTTTTATTGCAACCCTAACCCCTCACACCATACAGAAACACGTACACCACACATTATGTTCCTTTTTTTTTTACTGAACTGCTCATCGTTACACTTTCGTCTGATGGTCATGCGCACATCAGAGACACTTGTCTGCAGAAACTCCAGAAGAACAGCATCTGTTAACCAAACAGACAAGAGATACTGTAAATCACACAGCATATTCATAGTATTTTTTAACACTACATCAGGGAAGTCTGAGAAATTGTATCAGTATGACATACCAATATTGCTACCAGTACATAATCCAACATGTATTTAATAATAACTGGTTGTCTGTTTCCGTGTGATATAGCTGCTATAGAAATCACAGAAGCTTTCAAATAGACTGCATGTAACTCAAGACAATTACATACCTGTAATAGCCAGCACTTTGGCAACATCAAGCTGTGTTTTTGGCGGTCTTCCCTCCAAGACTCTCCAGTTAGGGTGGAGTGCTTTGTGAATCCCAGGACAGCCAGCTCCCCCAGCTCCTGGGCAAAAATGGTCATGCCAGATCTATTCAGCAGCAGGAAGTCCTTCTTTGAAACTGTCACTGTGCTGCCTGCCAAGGGGAGCTGCTTATGGGAGAGAAAGAGAGGAAAAATTAGACAGATTATCTCTACGAGGAATGACCAACAATGTGCTTAATTCAATCTTTACTTGGAAACACTACTAGTACTTTTTTGCTGTTGACAAACTTCTGCTCCAGTCTGAAACATAATATTAATGGGAATTTTAAACATTGTAGTTTATGCATTTGTTTTCAAAGTATTTATCATTAATACAGTGCTATTGAGAGGAAATGTGAATATTTACTTTTCAGGTCAATTAAAAGTGTGCGCCCCTAAAATTTTAAGTTAGCGGCCACCGTCCTCTTGGTAAAATAAGTTAGGCTGCAGCCCTGTAAACCACAAGGGAATGCCAGAGGGGTTGAAGTTCCAAATGACAGCAAGATAATTCATATGGCTGATTTGTGAAACATGTAACCTGTTAAATCCCATCACTATACTGCTGACCTAATTACCAACACAGGATGATGCTGCCAAAGACAAAAGGTCCAGAATGCAAATATAGAATACTTTGTGAATGAACCATCAAGTAATGAATACATACGTTGATCCCTCAATTATAACATACCATTTCAATTTCACTGTCCACAGAAGATGACATTACAGATGAAAGGGTCCCCTGAATGTGTAATCAGGTTGACATTTTAGATGTTTTCCGATTTAATCTTCCAATAATTATCTCATCCCCCCCAGCTTTATCTTATTTGGTGTCTCTTTATGTAAAAATGCATTAACCGTAGTTGAATCTATAGGCCTACCTCCGGCAGCTACAACAACAAAATACTGCCACATCGTGATGTTTCAGTATTATTCATTTAATGTTTTCATTTTTAACAATATATCAGTCAGAGGGAGTAAATCTGTACATTTACTTTGATAGGTAAGCAACATCCATCCATCCATCCATCATCAATACCACTTATTCCCTCATGGGGTCGTGGGGGGAACTGGAGCCTATCCCAGTGGTCAACGGGCGAGAGGCAGGGTACACCCTGGACAGTCCGCCAGTCCATCGCAGGGCCACACACAGGACAAACAACCACTCACACTCACTCCTAAGGGCAATTTCCCCAATTTCCAATCAACCTAACATACAGGTTTTTGGACTGAGTGACTCCCTCAAGAACGTCCGCAGCTCTGGTTGGCTGAAAAACGAAATCGATGAACTTCATTGGTCAGAGACTCAGTGCCGTTCTATAAAAATAAAAAAAACGAATTTAAGATACTTTTTATACAGTTACTATACCAAATAATCATGCCAGCAAAACGGAAACTGAACAGACATTGAATTCTGACGATAGTATTGGAATCATATTTTTTTTATTAGTTTTTGCAATGCACACTCTTCATCAGGATACCATTAAAGTCAGACGTGGATATGGCAGAACAAGCTCTGCCAAAGTTTGTGCTTAACTTTGAGAACCTTTATGGTGCTGCAAATGCTTATTTAATGTGCATCTATTAATGCACATGGCAGCAAGCGTGCACAATTGGGGACATCTATGGGCAACATCCATGTTTCCATTTGAATAATTTAAAGGTACTTTGCTTAGGTTTTTCAGTGGAATAACACATGTGCCAACACAAATAGTGAATAGATTTCTTCGGTGGAGGGATCTCTCCACAAAAGCAGGGACTACAATAAATGCTAATGACAGCATAAAGGCATTATTTGACAAACTTCAGAGTACCTCTAGCTTAAAAAATAATTCAAAGGAGTTTCAACTTAATGTCAGAGGTTTTGGCTGCCTGAAGAAAGGTAGCACATCTGTGTCGCAG